AATTTGGGGCAAATTGCATGGGGATCTCACCAGGTGAGAACTTGAGAGACTCTGTTTCCCATGATCTGTGCTGAGTTGGCTGTATTGAGTGGCCATTACAACATGGCCACGGCAAGATGGTGGTACCAATATGGCACTGAGATGTCATAGACCCAACTCAATTGCCTCTTCAGAACATGATGTTTGCATTTCAGCAATTAAATTACTCTATGTGGCTGATATTTATCCACTTTATTCCTTTTTTGGGGGGAGAGAAGGGAAGACTATTGACCTCCCATTTCCTTAGTGAAAACTATCTAAGTTTGTGTCCAAGAAGGAAGGAAGGAAGGAAGGAAGGAAGGAAGGAAGGAAGGAAGGAAGGAAGGAAGGAAGGTGCTGTCAGCATATAGAGTAGACAAAATCAAGAAACCAATGCTAGAGATCTTTTCTCAAATTAGTTTCCCGGCTGAACTTAGTCTGGATTATTTGATCATTGCCTTTGGAATGGCTCTTCCTTCTGTCCTTTAAGGGTATTTTTGGGTATCAATTTTTTTTAGAATCTATTCTGTAGGTGTGGCCTGTTTTGTGGGAGTGGCTTGGCAGCCATGTCACCGGGTAGAAGTGGCTTGGTGGTGATGTGATTGAGTGGGAGTGGCTTGGCGGTCATGTGACTGGATGGGAGTGGCTTGGAAGTCCTGTGACCGGGTGGGAGTGGCCAAGTCAATGTCACTGTTTATACTGGAACAATCATGAGAAATGATGATTGGCATCTATTGGCAAGGGGCATCCAAAAGGCAGAGTTAGCTCTTCAATAAAGGAATTCAGCAATGATGAAGCTCAGTCAACCATTTATTCTGCTCATAATCTATTTTCCCCCACCAATTTTTATAAGCCCTTTTTTGTTTTCCTGTTTCAAGTTTTATTGGTCTATCTTTTCTTTTTCTTCTTCTACTTAATGTTTACATTAAAGCAAGCCCCAAAGGAGTTTTTGTTTTAAAAAAAATACAGTCTGCTTTAGATTAATGTCTCTGCTGCTTCTTGTTTGTTGTTTGTTACTTTTAAACTAACATATGGATTAGTGGTTAGATAGACGGCTGACATGGTATATATTGTCCTCTTTGTTTTATTGCCTTCGATGTTATTGAGATTTGTTTTAAAATGCTTTTTATGTACACTGCTGGAGGAGGGGGGATTATATTTTGAAAGGCAGCCTCAAAGCCTTTGGGGGGGAATAAACAAATAAATTTTTCCCATTGCCTGGATGGGATGTTGTACGCTGGAATGATATAAGGCCTAAAATGCCGCACTCTTTAGATATTCACATCAGCAAATGCATCAGTGTAAATATATAACTAAATATGCCTCTGTCACGATCTCTATGCGCAGTTTTGTGTCAAGTGTCAGGCAGGCACTCTCAGCAGCAGGTGAAGGTGAAGGCTTCGGCAAGTCCAACGTCTGTGTTTTTATGAGGCTTTCCCAGCCAGAATATTGAAAGCGATGTTTTAATGGAACAATCAATCTGAAATAAATTAGTACTACAAACTAATAAAAGCTTTTATTGGCTGGCTTGCTGAGATGCACTGAAAGCCTGAGTACTGCCTGGATGGTGAAGAGGGAGCAAAACAACGGATCATTCATAAATCTAAGCTGGTGCCACTGAAGCCAGGCAGGCCACACTGGGAGGCTCCACAGTTCGCAAGGACCTTTGATCCCAAGAACCTCCCAAATGTCACCATTTTTCAAAGGTTGGAAGGCAGAGGCTGGGATTCCTAGAAAGACACCGTAGGTTTCTCCTCAGGATTTAAACACTATGTTGCTTCATGCCTTATCGGTATGAGAAAAGCTTATCTTTCCTTTAGTCCTCAGGGCAGGGCTGGATAATGCAGTAATGCTGGTTGGCTGAAATTTTCACCAGAAAAACTGAACACCTACTGACAAAAGTTGAACCTCTGGATAGTGACTAGAATTAAATCCACAAGGGAAATTAGTTTGTGAAGTCAAAAATTTATTGTGAAGAACATCTGCTCAAGTTTTCCCCAACCCAGCATCCTCCAGATGTATTGGGCAAGCATTGCAGTTAGCTAGTAAACCCAGTGGACTTCCAACATAACTGGACCAGGGGTGGTTTGCACTTAGCTTCCCTACTGGTTCACAAATGTGTGTGTCTATGCACGCATTCACTTTCTTCACATGTGCCCCATCCATGCACATGCCCGGCCTTCTGGGCATGTGCTTTGCTAAAAGAACATCCCTAAATAGGATGAAATAGAGCCAGGGCGGGTGGGCAGTCCACGATTTCTGCTACCAGTTCAGGTGACCCGGTCCAGTCCAGTAGAATACCACCTCTGATCTGGACCCTCTTGGGAGAAAAAAAAAGTCATCCTATTATTGAATTTGTAAAAATAATTTCCAAGTTTGTGATTTCTGCAGAATGTCCTTTTTGGAAACTAAAGTTGGTCTACTCTGTAGAGGATAGTTACATTTTAGGCAATATAAAATGTGACTTATCTATCCTGTGTCATCTCTATTAAATACCATGCTTTGAATCAATCCCACATACCAAGGGTCATTTATTATAACATATTCCGGTTCTTGCTCTGGGAGCCTTTTCATCTGCTTCTCGATAACTTTCCTTCTCCAATTCGAAGAGACACTTGTTCAGCAGGCTGAGGCAAAGAGGCAGTCCCGGAACCAGCGAAATCTGGGGGCTGGGCAGGGGACAGAATGTATTTGCCCTCACTGTGGAAGTGATTGCCATCCTCGAATTGGTCTTTTTAGCCATACCAGATGCTGTTTTAGGACCTCTTTTCAGAGCACGATACCATAGTTTGAGACTGAAGGATGCCAACAATTGTTAACTTTCATTAGAGGTGTTTGCAAAAATCTGAATTATGCTCCCCTGCTCAATGGGAAGTGATACAGCAGTTCACAGGGATACTATATTTGTGCTGCAAAAATCCGAATTAAGTGGCAATACAGAGACTATAGTGGGTATGGAGAAACCTGAAGAAATAGTGCAATAGCAATGATTGCAATTATGTAGACCTCAGCTTGGGTTTGAAAGAGAGGACAGAATGAGAAAGAAACTCAAGATTGCCCTGCCTTTATTCTCTCTGGTAAANTGTCTCAACTTGTCCCCTCAAGATGCAGCTATAGGACATTGCATGCCAAAACAACTAGACACAAAGATAGTCTCCCCCCATCCCCTGCTGTCCCCCTCCCCCACATTGCCCTCAAACTGCTGAACACCTAGCTCCCACAGCACTGTCTTAGGCCTAAAGATATTTAGCCATGTAGTAGGCTGTATTGATATTATCCTTCCCATCTTCTCATCTTTTTCACCTTCTCATCTTTCCTACCAGCTTCGCCTATTGGTATTTTATGATTTATCACTTGTTATTTGTATCTGATTATTAATGATTGTAATTATGATTTATGATCTATGACCTATCATCTTCTTGTTTGTATGTACACTGAGAGCTTATGCACTGGAGGCAAATTCCTTGTGTCTCCAAATTACACGTGCCAATAAAGAATTGTATTCTATTCTATATCTACAAAGAACTAGATGATTAAATAACTTTTTAGTTTTTAAGTGTTGTATGATACTTTGTATATTTATATACTGCGAATCCTTGTTATTTTGCTTTCTTTTCATCAATGCTTTTTTTAAATAAGTAGCTTCAGTTTTAGTTTAGAAAAATAATTCCAGGTAATATTAAAATGTGGTATTTGGAAATGGCTGAATGAACCTGGAGTGAGAAAGGCTACCAGAAATTATTAGAGTAAAATTTTAATATTCTCTGATTGTTTTTGTCATGCTGTCCAGAGATGATTGGAAGTGAAGTCTGCCAACATCTATATCTAACCACCAGGAGAGATCATCCATTGGTTCAGGCTGAGATTTCATCAACATACCGTTTTAATCCAATTTCATTTTACATCTTCAGTATAGGCCAAGCTGAAAAAGTGGTAGAAATCTTGACCTCAGACATAGAGGCTATAGAGACTGGATGGAGCATCCTTCTTAACTAATTGGAGTTAATTGTTTTTCCAAAACCCATATGCATCTCTACCAGCATTTCTGTTAGCTTTAAATGGTATTAGACTCCCCCTGAAAAATCAAGTTACCACAGGGCATTTTTCTGGATTCACAGCTATTGTTGGAATGGGAGATAGAGATCATGGCCAGGAGAACATTTGCTCAGCTTTGGCTGGTGGGTCTATAGAGTGGGAGATCTTGACAACAGTGACTCAAGAGTAAGGCCCACCTTCCTTCAAGACTGTTGCAATGCACTGTTCATGGAGCTCCTTTTAAAGAAAGCCTAGCATGAAGGTGGCTCTTGCAGGCTAATTGATGGCTCTGGGGGAAGCTGCAATGGCTCCCAATAGGTCTCAAAATGCTGGTTTTAGTCCTATGTGGCTTGGCTCCCAGGAACCTTCAGGGCTACTTTTCCCAAATGAAATTTGCCTTTCCCATGCACTCAAGCTAGAGGGGATGCTTGGGTCCCCTCCTTTGGGGGACTCTCCCTAAGGTCTGGCTGTCTCCCAGAGGTGGCATCCTACCGTCTTAACAACCAGTTCACTGAGTATGTGCTTTGCTCATGCGTGCCTGACATGTTTGACACATGCTGCGTGTGTGCGCACAGTTCACAGGAAAACAGCTGAGGTGCAGCAATCTACTCTGCCGCACCAATCAGGTCTGCAAAAAAATAAGGAAATATAGGTAAGTATAACCTGAGGGTGGGCGGCCCACCTGAAGATCTTTTGAGCTACCGGTACACACGAACCAGGCTGGACCGGTAGAATCCCACCCCTGCTGCTTCCACTCTGAAAAATGTTAAAAATGATTCTGTTTTATAGATTCTTCAGTACTCAATGAACTGTTCCTTGTCATCATTGAGGACTGTGCTAGCATTTTCTTCTACCATTGGATTTTATTTTGATGCATTAGTATGGGGTTATAATACTTTAAGATAGCCTGATTTATTTTGTATTTTTATGGCTGTAAACCACAGAGAATTGCTTCGCTGCAGATGGCATGCAAATCTTTTAATAAAAAAAATAGTAGTGAGAGGGTCCATAGATTCTTATGCTTCTTTCAACTTGTTTCAACTCCCTCAAAACGATGCTATGGAGCTCTGCACACCAAGACAACTAGACACAAGAACAGGTTTTTTCCTGAACGCCATCACTCTGCTAAACAAATAATTCCNAAAGAATTCAGTTCTATTCTATTCTATTCTATTCTATTCTATTCTATTCTATTCTATTCTATTCTATTCTATTCTATTCTATTCTACTCTACTCTACTCTACTCTACTCTACTCTACTCTACTCTACTCTACTCTACTCTGAATAAGTGAAGAGTGCAATTGGAGAAATAGTTTTCAGTACTGAAACCTAGTGATTGAATGTTCTCCTCAAAGGTTCACTTATATCCTCTCTTGATTGTCATTTCAGGTACAACTGTTCTTTGCTCCTCAGGCAAAAATTGATAGTGAATGAAGAAAGCTTTAGGCAGTCTATCCTGCCCTCCAGTTCTTGCACATAGCTTCTCAATCTGTTTGCTGGCTATTAGAGGGAAATGGGAACTAGGGATTTCATTGTTTTTCTTGAAACTACTAATTCCACCACAAGATATTAAAGATGGTTTGCCACTCTAATCTAGTTTTGCTGTCACTGGATTTGCTAATGTTGCTAAAGTACTTGGAAAACTCATTCTTATGAAGCAGCTACATAGCCATGGAATACACACCTATCACACAAACAAACAGAAGAGCTGTTTCTTCCTTCCTTCCTTCCTTCCTTCCTTCCTTCCTTCCTTCCTTCCTTCCTTCCTTCCTCCCTTCCTTCCCTTCCCTTCCCAAACCCGTTACTCATTTCATCTCCTGCAGATTTTCAACACAATACTAACAATCACAGGAAGTTAGATTTAAAACCCTCCTCAAAGATTGTATTTTAAAATCAAATCAAATAGCCCTGAGATTTTTACACAGGCTGTTTGATCTTCACTGAAGTTGAAAGAAACTGAAAGGGTGGAGTGGAGTGAAATCTAGATTGTGTGAGGGAGTTCAGTGACTTCCCGATGAGTTCAGATTGTATAGCACTAAGGAAAAGCAGCCTACTGCTGAGAAAACTGTATCCCCGCGTCAATAATTTATTAACAGCTATTGTCAGTCATGGCTACCTTGTCTGATCATCCCTCCTCTAAAACATCTTGGGCTTGGAATGGAAGTAGGAGAACATACTGTTTTCTTCAAGAGATTAGATTCCAGGGCAGTTAGTGGGGCAAGGTGGGGTGTAGATGACTGCAAATCACAGCAGGCATCGCTGGTTCTTCTCAATAATTCATAGGTATAGGGGATGACTAAGTGACCAAAGAACTATAAAACACCAGGAAGGCAATGGGCAAGGGTGTGTATCAAAGGGAGAGATGGGGATTTGAAGCATTAGTAAAAACAAAGCCTATATACTGAGAAAAGCAAACCATAGGGAGATATGAGCTCAGGCAACCAAGGTTAACCACAGATTCCAAGCAAAACGTTCCTTAGCTTGATTGAGGGTGGGGGGGTATTCAGCAGGTTAGCAAGCATTTTACACTTTAGTGTAGGCAGAAGTTTGAAGTAGCTGTGCTGCTGGATGATTTTAAACTCTGGTTTGAAGTTTTACCAAGAACAGGAGTTTAGAACATTTTTTGTTTAACTTTGAGAACTTAACAGGACTGTTTTGTTTGTTTGATTACAAAAATCCAGAAAATTCTGGTGACTGAATTTTCATATAATCCTGTAAAATATTGGTAGCATAACCTTGGGATGCTGAAGAAGCCACAGAAAATGGGTGGGCTCCAAATATGGCCCATGTTTCACAGGTTAACCGTAAGGCATTGACCATTACATAATCAAGGGATTGACACTGGTATATAGTAACATTAGAGATAATGACTGCTTTATTCAGATTTTATATCTTTTGTTGACACTATTTTTATAGAAAACATAGTTTTTATTCCTGACAAGTGCAACGTTCATGTTGTGCTTCTCTCTCATCTCAAATATGATTTGTATGTTTTATTTTGGTTTTTTTTTTGTACAGTTGCAAAGATGTGAGCATTTGTCAAGTTTTTTGAAACTATCCTGTCTTAAATCTCCTTTTTTTCAGGTACTGTATAGTGTGGCTGCTTCCCCTCCCCTTTTTTTTTCAGCTGAATGACCTCAGCGTTCTTGAATCAGCTCTTTAATCACTTGCTGTTCCCTGTAGAAAAGGAAGGGGTTTTTAATTACTGATTTCCTTTTTTGCAACAGAAATATTTTCTTATTATTCTATGCTATTTTTATGAGCACAATTGTGAAGCTGTGCTCATAAAATGAATAACCAATTGCTCTAAGTACCTAAGCTAATCCATTAATTAAAGCCTTTATCACACACCCCGTCCCCACCCAGAAAGTAAGAATAGATGGCAAATTCCAGGAATGTTGACTTCCTAACTAATTACAGGGAACAGTCAACTTTCAAAGAAAGGAACGTAGTGAAAGGTGACTAACCAAAACTAACCACAATGTGTTGTGGATCCTTTCATCTAAAGGACTTCCTGTTACTCAAGTGCATGCAAGTCAAATCCCAAGAAATATGAGAGAAGAGGGAAACAAGGATCAGTGGTAGTGACCAATCTCTCAGGGTGTGATATGCTGGATCATATTTTTATTTATTTTATTTATTTAGTTTGCCAAACACGTACAAGATAACAGGTATAAGTATAAACATCGAGATGAACAAAGGAAATGAATACAAGTAAATGGGGACAGTAGGACAGGGACAGTAGGCACGCTGGTGCACTTATGCACACGCCTTTACAGACCTCTTAGGAATGGGGTGAGGGCCACGGTAGACAGTTTAAGGTTGAAGCTGTGAGGGTTTAAGGATATAACAATGGAGTCAAGTAAAGCATTCCAGGTGTTGACCACCCTGTTGCTGATCATATTTTCTGCAATTACCTTGAGTTTGTATCGCTTGTTTGCCCGTGTATTATTGTGGTTGAAGCTGAAGTAGTTGTTGACGTACTGTAGGACATTGTAGCAGACAATTTTGCGTACTATGCTTAGGTCCAACCCCAAAATTTCAAACCTGGTGGTGTAAGGGATTCTATTGTGAGCAGAAGAGTGGTGTACTCTTCTCATGAAATACTTCTGGACCTGCTCAATTGTATTAATGTCCGATAAATAGTATGGATTCCAGGCAGGCAACCTGTATTTGAGAATTGGTCTGGCAAAGGTTTTGTATGCCCTAGTGAGCAGTACAATGTTACTGGAGAAGAAGCTTTGCAAGATTAGGTTAACAACTCTTAATGCCTTTTTGGCAATGCTGTTAAAATGAGCTCTTGGGCTTCTGCAGCTTCCATTCTTGATAGGGATTTCCTTGTGGAATATATTCTTTTTTTTTTTTTTTGAGCAGCTATTTAGACATTCAGCACCAGCAATTGAGAACTTCAGTGGCTGGATATTATTCAGAAGTGTTTGGTTCCAGTGAGTTCTTATAGCAACATGCTAGGCCTTGTAGTTCAATTGCCATGCTATTAGCGGAATTTATTAAGGCTGAAATCACTGATCTCAACAGGTCAGTGCAGGCAAATCATGAATGAGTTCTTGTAAACACTACAGTAATGAAAAGACAGAAACAGCCAGAACACTAGTAAATCTTGTTCCTTGTGAAAACAAGGGAAAACATTTGAAATAAAAATCTCAGTTTCCCTTGCCAGTGATTTGCTCATCTCCACAAGATCCCTTTTATAACCAATAGTATAAAATATTAATTAATGCTTTTAAAAAAGGCCATCACTCATGATTTAAAAGATTTCAGATAAAAAATTATAATGGTATTAAACATACAGTTTGGTTCCCTGGTATCCTCTTATATATCTATAATTGCACCTTTGTTTAATTAGGTCTTCCTTGGTACATACATTATTAATTAGACCTGTTAATGCTTTTGTAAATTGGAGTCACAAGGGAATCAAGTCTCACGGTTTTTAAAACCGTAGTAATTGCCACAATCAATTAATAATTCATTAATGTAGAACTCATTTGCAATTTTCAAAATTGAATGGAAGCAGAGCCTTTTTTTAAAAAAAATGCTAAAAATTAATCACCTACATATGAATGAAACCCTGAATTATAGTCCCAATGGCTCTTGTAAAATAAATAAATAAATCAAGATCTTGCCTCAAATCTGGTCATTACAAAGATCTATCCTATAAAATATATAGGCACCTTCATTGAATATCAGGTATTTGTGCAGTATCTTGGCAATTCATTCAATATTGTGGTCTGTTTTGCATCTTGTATTCTTCCTTGATTTTTAAAAAAACACCTGACCTTCTATGTTACAAGATCTGATTTCANGACAGAGGAGCAATTGGTAAGAATTGTGGCCCCACCCAGCAAAGCCAAAAGGGCCCCTGGTCGAATCCTGTTACATGCAGCTCAGCCCCCCCAAGGAGCTCAATGTGACTTGGAGGGAGGCTGAAAATACAGAATAACAGAGGCGGAAGGGACCTTAGAGGTCTTCTAGTCCAACCCCCTGCTCCTTAACAACCTCCAGAGACGGACCAGCTGCCCCCTCTGGAGGCTCCATCCCCCTCACCTAAAGTTAGCACCGCCAGGACTCTGCCCCCAACCTGGGAGTAGGGGGCTTGCCTGACACATAGGAAGGGGTGGGGAGATGTTCCTACAGGGGGGAGGAATTGACTTATCTTTGCTTCCTCCTTTTCGGCAGATGAAAAGGGCTTCGACACTCTTCAGTGCAAGCGAGGTGATGGGGGGCTACATCTTATCCACTTGTTCCTTCTCCCCCGCCAAAAAAATATCCAGAATAGCCTCTGCTGGGGCCCATCAGTTCTGGCATTGGCAAGATCCCCTCCAAACCATGAGCAGCTTTGCTCCCAAGTGGGAAACACATAAAAATGACTTTGCCATGAAATAGATTTAATTTTAACCAAAAATTTTCAATAAAACACTGCAACCACTTGGTTCCTTCCACCTGCTGGAAACCCCCCTCTCCTGCCCCTCGTTCTGCCCAGGTGCCCGAAGCTGCAAGGAACTCCTGGCCCAGGGGGAGGTCCTGAGTGACTGGTACACCATCTACCCCCAGGACTGCCGGCCCCTGCGGGTGCTGTGCGACATGGACACCGATGGAGGCGGGTGGCTGGTGAGTCCGGCCCACGGCAGACCCACTCAGGAGGGGAGCCTTCTGCTCGCCCCTCTCTTGCCGGTGTGGGGGGGGAGGGATGAAGCAGGAACCGAATCTCTCCCAGGGGGCAGGATGGGGGTCGGAGGGACCCTGGGAGGGGGGAAGCACCTCTGGGTGGAGAAGGGCAGATGGGAAGGGAGGGGGAGAGAAGGCCTGTAGTATCGGGGCCGGTCCAGTGCAAAGGTTAAGGATCCCGGATCTTGCTCACAGGTCTTCCAAAGGAGGTCGGATGGCTCGGTGGATTTTTTTCGGGACTGGGCTGACTACAAGAAGGGATTTGGAAGCGAGCTGAACGAATTCTGGCTGGGGAATGACCACCTTCACCGCTTGACCTCGATAGGTGAGGGGCTTCTCCCTGGACCCTCCGGCTGCCAGGGGAGAGGGCCGTAGGGCCTGGGAAGAGTATGCAGTGGGGCCTCAGCCCCCTCTGTAGATGAGGAGGGGACCAGAGGACATGGCTGTGGGGCTGCTGCCTGACCCTTCTCTCTGGGACTGGCGGGGGGGGGGGCTGAGCAGCGCACAAAGGGAATCACGAGCGAGTTCATTTAGGCAGCTCTGGACCTGACCCTTCGGCTCCTTCCTAGGAAAAAATGAGCTGCGTGTTGACTTGATCGATTTCGAAAGCAATCACACCTTCGCCAAATACGGATCCTTCAAGGTGGCAGCCGAGTCTGACCTCTATCGGTTGGCTGTGAGCAACTTCACGGGAGGCTCTGCAGGTGAGTCCCTTCTCCTTGAGCCTCTTCAGGATGGGCAGCGCCACTCAGGCCAAGGGCTGCCTTCCCTGCCAGGCTGGTGCCCTGGGGATTCCTGGTCTGGCCTCCCAGGTACCCACCCTCCTCTCTTCCCCCCAGGTGACTCTCTAATCCCCAAACACGACACCATGGCTTTCTCCACCCGAGACAAGATCAACAACCCCAAGGGGCAGAAATGCCCCCTGAAGTGCAAAGGCGCCTGGTGGTATCGGCAGTGCCACGACTCCAACCTCAACTCCCTGTACTTTCAAGGACACCACAATTCAGAGGGAGACGGCATCAACTGGAGGACGGGGAGAGGCCACCACTACTCTTACAAGCACACGGAAATGAAAATCAGGCCGGTGGGTTAGGGGGCTCCTTCACCTGAACGGGGGTTTCTCCTAAGGGGTCTCAAAGGGCATCTAGTCCATCCCCTCTGCTTTCGACTTGCTACCTTGCCAGAGAGCTTGCATTTTACATAACTGACATGATTAAGTCATCTTTGTATCTACTCCCAAAGTGCCTTTGCAAGGTTGGGGTGGGTGGGTGGGGGGCTTTCCCTCTGCCTCCCTTCATCTGCGTAGGAGTTGAGGATCCAATGAATGCAATATTAATAAATAATCTCAATAAATAAAAGTACGATTTGCAACCCAGCCGAAGGTCTCCTGGTCTCCTTTATTCCAAAACATAAAAAACAGCTGGCAGGACCCTGGACTTCCCGACACCCCCAGCAGGACCAGGCCTGCCACATCCCACGCAGTCCTCTCATTGCACGAAGTCCCACATGGCTGCAGAGCATCTCCTCCTGTGCCCACCTGGTTGGTCCGAAATTCTGGGATTTGCTCTGTGGCTGCAGCCTTTGAAGCCCTCTGCAGTCTCCGAGGCTTCCAAAGCAACACGGGGACCCCCCTCAAGCCCCCCAAAGTTCATTCCTGACTCAGGGGGTTCAGCAGCTGCAGCCCCCCTCCCTCCCTCATGCGGCCTTTCAACATACATGGGAACTAAGCTGGAAGATGCTGACCAGTGATGGGATTCAGCCGGTTCGCACCTATTTGGGAGAACCGGTTCGTAACTTTCTAAGCAGTTCGGAGAACCGGTTGTTGGAAGAAATCTTATTTTTTTTTTTCCCAACTTTACAGGGCTAATCCTGTAAGGAAGGCAGGAAGGGAAAATTCTGGTGTTGTTTCTAGCCTCATCTTTATTGCCCTGCTTACAGAAACTGCCTCTCCGGTTAACCCTTATTACATTGTAACAGCTAAGGCGAAGCGCCCATCAACGTGAGTTAGCCACAGCCCCATTGTCACATGACCACCAAGCTATTCCTACCCAGCTGGTCATTAGGACAGAGAACCAGTTGTTAAATTATTTGAAGCCCACCACTGATGCTGATAGGCAGCTGAGTCTTCCCAGGGGTCGCTTGGCCTGCAGCTGCTGGGCCCTGGGGAGAAGGTGGGGCAACCGCAGGGGTCAAAGCTGCCCTTCCTGGAGCCGCGATGGCGGAGGAGGAGAGCGAGGGGGAAAGGGCCAATCTGATCCTTTCAACTCCCCAAGGGGGTCTCGGAGACTTTGCTCTAATCCATATTGTGCCACTTGCAATTCAAACCGTGGGTGGGTCACAACACCATGTCCACCTGCGCTGTTTATAATGTGTCCGGCCAATTGTGCACGGGCAAACAGTGTGCGGTGCCTGCGCGACCACTGCCAAGCAGCTGGGTGTCACAGGGCAGTGGCGCGCGCATGCGTGCACAGCCTCATGCCTGACTAGGACGCCTGGCCCCGTGTGCAGAGTACCAGTTGGGACGGGATCCAGAACCCACACTGCCCCAAAGGGCTGCTTGCTGGATGAAGTCCTGCCCCCCCCCCAACTCCCTCTCTCCCCCCACGGCTCTTCCTTGCCTGCACACACACACACAGGGACCCATTTGTTCTAGATTCGTCCCCCCTGCCCCGAGAGTTTTTCGTTGGCCAGGATCCTTCATGGTTTTCTCCGTTGTTTTCTGTGTGTGCCCATTCCCAAGAATGCCCCAGAGTTGAACCGAGGACTCCAGAAGAAACGCTGCCGCTTGGGCTTCCCCAGAAGGCACCGCAGCAAACGGCACGTGGCATATCTGAGACGGGCAACTGGAAAGCACTCGCAGGGGGGCATTTCTGGCAGCCCCTGAGCTCCCCCCCCACACACACACACACGTCAGAAGGGCTGTTTGTGCTGGCAAAGGTCCAGCTCATCTAAGAGGATTATCATCCTCCGACTCTCTTCTTGGGTAGCCTCTGTGCCACTCGAAAGGTCGCCCTGTGTGAGTTGGCACCTGAATGTGAGTGCAGCCGACCGGATGCACAATGTTCCCTGCTCTTGACAGCGGGCGAAACTGGGCTCGTGATCCGAGATGTTGATGTTGGCCTTCGTTTCTGACCAGCTGAGTGGTCAGCAGTGGAAAATCCTGCTCCCTTCCCTTTTAATTTCAGCTCTGCTCCACTAGGGGGCCAGAGGGGGCTCAGGGCACACCAGAAGCTCTGCCCAGCCGAGGCCCTGCGCCCCTCTCCCCTGGCAGCAGGGGGGTCCAGGGAGAAGCCCCTCACCCAGCGAGGTCAAGAGGTGAAGGCGGTCGTTCCCCAGCCAGAATTTGCTCAGCTGGCTTCCAAATCCCTTCTTGTAGTCATCCCAGTTCCAGAAAAAATCCACCGAGCCATCCGACCTCCATTGGAAGACCAGGCAGCCGGGCATCTTCCCCTTCCCATTGGGCAAGCTTTTTCTCCCCACACCCCTCCCTTCCCAAATGTTGGGGGTCTCCAGAACTGTCTCTCCCCACCCAGAAACACTGTGGGCCGGACTCATGATCCATCTGCCTCCTTCAGTGTGCATGTCACACAGCACTCGCAGGGGCCGGCAGTCCTGGGGGTAGATGGTGTGCCAGCCGCTCAGGACCACCCCCTGGGCCAGGAGCACCTTGCAGCTTCGGACACCTGGGCAAGGGGGGAGACTGGGGGAGACTGGGGGCAGGAGACTGGAGTGAGCCATCCTGTGGGGCAGATGGAGCCTGTCCTCCCACTCGCCTCATTTTAATGAACTGGTTTTTTCATCTGGGCTAAATTGACTTCCAGGGGAGAGTAAGGAGCATAGAATATCAGAGTTGGAAGGGGCCTTGGAGGTCTTCTAGTCCACCCACCCCTGGCCAAGGCAGGAGACCTTATATTATTCCAGTCAAATGGAATTATCATCCTCCGACTCTCTTGCCCCAATCTTGGGCTCACTTTGGGGATTCCCCCAGAGCTGAGAAAAGCCACATAACATTACACACACACACACACAAACACAGAGGCCACAAAAGAGGTGCATTTACTGAATCTATTTATTGAGATAAACATCAGGGATGTTTACGTTTTAGGGAAGACAAAATTGCACAGAGCGGCTGTTGAGGTGGAGTTTCCGTCCCTCTGGAGGGGTCTTCTGGGCTCCCAGCCCCCATCTGTCTTTGCCACACACTGACAAAGGGATGCAGACCTGGAGCGAGAGGGTCTCACCCTGGAAACGCTCCCTCTCCGTCAGCCTTGGCTAGGTGGATTTTGTAGCGGCATCTGCAGACACAAACTCAGTTATCGCCTGCTTCTACTTCCCAGACTCCCCGAGGCACAAGGAGGGCAGTGGGAGGAACAGCAAAGAACCCCCCCCCCACATGGGCATGTGGGGGCTTGCTCCTAACTTAGAGCTGGATTTTGTTTATACCGAGGGATCTTGGAGGGGGGGGAAACACCCCCTTCTCTGCGGACCAAGTGATGTATGTGAATCCAGTCCTACCCCCCACCTGTGAATTCAGGCAGCCTTTACAAAGAGAGGCCCGAAAAACAGGGGGGGGGGGAATGATGGCTACCTCTGGATCCAGTCAAGAGCCAGGAGGAGCTTCCCTGCACGGATGTGGCATATTTGTGGGTGCTCCAAGTGGAAATGCCAAAGAGGGCTCTGGCCTGCCTTTTGCTGCTCCTGCAAATGACCCCCCCTCCCCTGCCTCCCCCTAGAGGCATCCCTTCCCCTTCCAGCCCCTCCTGAGACCCTCCGGCCCCTCGGTTATCCTCCCACGCGGGATCTGGCTCTCCTTGTCGGATGGTTGCCAAATTCCATTCCCTCGTTCTGTTTTCTTTTTTTCTCGCTGCGAAAGTTTTAGATAGGCATGTCTTTCGATGCGTCTTTCGATGCGTGCATGCGTGTGCCTTTTTGTGCATGGAGACGAAAAGGGCCGGGCACAGGAGCAAGTGAATTGAAGGAGCATCTGAGCAAGGAAGGACATAAGAGACCCCGGCCAAAAATGCTGGTCTCTCCTTGCCAGGTGGGCAGGTGACTTTGTAAGGGATCTGGACAAGCTTTCCCCGCGTGGCGTGAAGGAGCCCTTCTTTCTCGCTTCCTCCCTCCCTCCCTCCCCCCCTCTCTCTCTGACCGAGGATCACCTTGGCATCTTACCTTTCGCCTCCAAGAGGAATATCTGGTCTCTGTTTATCTGACTTCCCATTACGAAGTCTACGTAGGACTGCTTCAGGGAAGGGGGCACTGAGTTGTCCCTGGCTGCAGAAAGGGAGAAGAGGCCACCCTGAGGTGAACGGGCTTCTTGGGGTTTCCCCCCCCCCCCACACACACACAGAAATTTCTGTGGGGAGAATGCCCTTCACATAGAGGGCGACACCCATGGGCCCAAACGCCTTTTCCATCCCAAAGGAAGCCCTGAAAATGGAATCCACCCTGATCTTAGTGGTGACACCGGATTGACGTGGGCCCCATTATGGCCGGGGGGGGTCCTGAACGCATGGGGGGGGCTGGGGCTGGTTGGGGCTGGAAAGAGGAGTCGCCCCACAGGCTGGGTGTTGACTTCTTGCGTCAGCTGGAACCAGAAACACGAAACCAGAAACCGTGAGGTTTTTGTGGCACTCCAGGCGATGCAGCTGATGTGGCTGACCCCACGGCCACCCACGTCTCCCCATCGGAAGGGGGGGGACCGCCCTTCCCCAGAGGGTCATACGTCGCTTGCATTGATCCCAAACCCTTCGACTGCCCTTGCTGCATCTTAGGTGGGCCACCTGGCTGGCCGAAAGGGAGAAGTGGACCAGGTGTGAGCCTTCCCTCCCGTACTTCTCCTTCCCTCCCATCCAGAATGGCCACTGGCCAAGAGAGGGATGGGCAAGTCTTGGGCCCTTCTGCTTCCCCCCTTAGCACTAGGGGGAGGCTCTGGATACCCACTGTAGAACGACACAAACTTGCAGAATTTGCCATCGTTTTCCTTTAGGTCTCTGATACTGCTCATGATGTAGGTCTTGCAATCCGTCTTCCACTTGTCTAGGATTTTGTCCCCCCATTCTGGGAACAAGAGCAGAAGCAGCCCCCCCCCAAGTTAGCGGTGGGGCCAGGAGGTTGCAGAAAGCTTAAACCACACTCACCCTCTCCTGCTAAGTACAATTCTTAAAAGCCAAACTGATATTTCTTTCTAGTATCAACCTCCCTTTAACACAGGAGCCACACGTGGAAAGTGTGCATCGACAGGAAATCAGGATTAATTTGGCCTGGTTCGATGCTTGGAGGACAGCTTGGAAGGTTAACTTCTCTCCCTGGGTAGAGGAAGCCCAGAGGTTTCCAGTGGGAGGGAGTTCCTCAGGCTCAGCTTCTTTGTCAGAGAAGTGGGAGGGGCCCTTAGATTCCCTCCTGGGACAGAAGGTGAGAATGTGGCTTAAGTGCTCCGATCAATCGGCTCCCCCTCTGATGGTGGGAGCTGAGAAACCCAGGATGATGGTCTTTCCAGATCCTCCCTGCCTCCCTGATTTGCTGAGGCCCCAGGGGAGCTGGGGTGGTGGGAGACCCAGAGAAACTGACCCGGCTAGATGCCCTCTGGCTAGAGAGGAGCCCCTCCGACTTATACCAACCGCTTTTCTGCAAGTATGTCCCGTCCTTCTGTTTCATGAAGATCATCTCCACCTCCATGGAGCCGTATTCCCTGCAGAATTTTGCGGGGGAAGAAGGAATCATTAGGCGGCTACTGAATCAGCTCCTTGGCACGGCTCCTCTCTTGGCCAGAAAAGGCTTTGGGGATGGGGGTGGGAGATGCCAAGAGAGATGTTGGCATAAACAGGCTCTCACTCATCCCCCCACCATCCTTCAACTGAAGAGAGGGGGCCTCTGGTTCTTGTAACATGCCTGTTCTGCTAATCCTCAGAGGGAAAATGTTGCTTTTCATGCCCACTGAGATCTCCTGGGGCCACGGCAGACATTCCATCACAAGCTGGCAAGGGTCAGCCCCTGGCAAAGCCTGTGAGGACATCCCCTCCCCCATCCCTGAAATCCAGCCTCCCTACCACTCTCCAAGGCACAAGTGCCCACCCTCCTTCCCACCCACCCAGCCAGAGGGGCAGAGGGCAAGGGCTGCGGGCCCAGGCCTGGCCCAGCACAGTGGGCACTCACGTTGAGCAGTTGGTCGAGATGGTGAAGCTCCCCTCTTTCTGGCTGGTTATGTTGCAGGTCATCATCTCCTTAACCAAAAATTCCACCATCCACTCACAGTTGGACCCTATGCCGTGGACGTACCACAGCCCTAGAATCTGGGGGAGAGCGCTTGGTTAGCCAACCCAGATTCCGTGGCAGGCGTGCCAGGGAAGTTGGGCCGGGGCACCCATCTGGACAACCTGCCTCCTGCCCAGCTCATTGGGGGCTCTTTTGCAGGGAGAGGCAGCCTGGCTCGGTTACCTGCCCGGGAGCACATTCAATGTACTCATCAGAGGAGGAGGCAGTGGGGAGGCAGAAGAAGGCGAGAGCCAAGACAGACAGACAAAGGTATCTCATCCTGCCCAGGTGCTTGGTCCGTGCTCAGCCAAGGAGCCCCTTGGAGAAGCCGGTTCCCGAGGTCAGCGGCTTTTATAGCGCTTGGACGTCACTTCCCCTCCCAACGGCCGGCATCCTCTCTGAACTGTCGTGGCACCCGAGATGGGGCATCGCTGCCAGCACAAAGGGCGATTATCTCAGCCGGCACAAAGGGCCATTGCTCTGCCTGGCCAAGGAGCCTGGAGGCTTTTGGGTGGCCTCCAGCCAGGAGAGCCTCAGGGTGGAGTTGGCCAAAGGCAGCTGAAGCGGCCAAAGTGAAGGAAACACCCCAAATGACCTCCAGCTCGGGCAGAACGCAAAGAACAGCAATGCCCGCAAGTGTGAGCGGGCAGTATATCGACACAATAACTCAGCAGTTTGAGGGCTGGAACTTGGTCCCAATTCAGACATTCCTTCTGGGAAAATGCCGAGGTTTAAAGGATGTGTGTTGTAAAAACAAGAGCGTGTATTCGAAATGTTATATGTGTGGGGAGACTTGCGTGATTTATAAGACCGCCGGATCAGAAGAAGACGACAATATCCAGAGGTTCACCCTCTTCGGTTTCTGATTGTTTTCACTTTACCTGGGTGGATTAAAGGAGCAGCAACTGTCCTCAGTGTTGGGAGGCTTGGAGGCAGATTTCATTCTGGCCATCCCAGCCCTTGCGGGGGGCCTTCCCTGCTGTGCGGCTGTTGCCACCGGCCCCTTCCCCACCCAGGAGCCCCACAGAAAACACGGCTCAAGAAGAAGGGAAGGTGTAATCTATTTATTCCAGGGAAGGGGAAGGAAGGGGGGACAAAGCAAATGAGGAGGGGGGTATAAGAGGTGGGAGACCAGCAGGTATGGCTTCCGGGCCGAAGGAGGGCCTGTGGCTGGTGGGGGAGAGGCTGGGTCTCTTCAGGCGCTGAAAAGCAAAGCAGCAGAAAGAGGGGAGGGTGAGGACAAAATGGGGAGGGGAGTCTGTTCCCCCAAAACCCCTCCTCTTCCCCCGACATTTCTCCTCAGAGCCACCCACACAACCTTTACCAAACCAGCCCCCCACCCCACTTTAGCACCAGGGATGAAGACACAGCAGCTGGAAATGTTACGGCACCCACAAAAAGCCCACCCCCGTTGCTCGCCAATGGCCGCTTAGAGGCACCTCTTCTCCTGCACACAAACAGCTGGAGGGCAGCCCCCCTCTCTCCCCCCCCCGTGCCACCATAATAAAGGCAATCCTCCCCCTCCCCTCACACTGCCCCATCCCAACCCCTTTGCAAGGCAATGGCACTCACCCAATTTGCTTGAAACATTTATCTGCAATGCAGAGGAAGACACAGTCAGTCTCCAAGGCTGGGCAGGAGGGCAGCAGCTCCTTCTCAGCCAGGGGGGAGAGTGTTGGGGGGCTGGGGGTTCCCTGCAAGGGCTTCCCCACCTCCCCACCCCCTCCCCGTGGGGCTCACGATTCCGCGCTCCCCCTCCCCCTCCCCAGCCGCCCTCTTCCACCCTGTGGGGAAGGGTCATAGGTGTCCTACNTAGGACTGCTTCAGGGAAGGGGGCACTGAGTTGTCCCTGGCTGCAGAAAGGGAGAAGAGGCCACCCTGAGGTGAACGGGCTTCTTGGGGTTTCCCCCCCCCCCCACACACACACAGAAATTTCTGTGGGGAGAATGCCCTTCACATAGAGGGCGACACCCATGGGCCCAAACGCCTTTTCCATCCCAAAGGAAGCCCTGAAAATGGAATCCACCCTGATCTTAGTGGTGACACCTGATTGACGTGGGCCCCATTATGGCCCGGGGGGGTCCTGAACGCATGGGGGGGGCTGGGGCTGGTTGGGGCTGGAAAGAGGAGTCGCCCCACAGGCTGGGTGTTGACTTCTTGCGTCAGCTGGAACCAGAAACACGAAACCAGAAACCGTGAGGTTTTTGTGGCACTCCAGGCGATGCAGCTGATGTGGCTGACCCCACGGCCACCCACGTCTCCCCATCGGAAGGGGGGGGACCGCCCTTCCCCAGAGGGTCATACGTCGCTTGCATTGATCCCAAACCCTTCGACTGCCCTTGCTGCATCTTAGGTGGGCCACCTGGCTGGCCGAAAGGGAGAAGTGGACCAGGTGTGAGCCTTCCCTCCCGTACTTCTCCTTCCCTCCCATCCAGAATGGCCACTGGCCAAGAGAGGGATGGGCAAGTCTTGGGCCCTTCTGCTTCCCCCCTTAGCACTAGGGGGAGGCTCTGGATACCCACTGTAGAACGACACAAACTTGCAGAATTTGCCATCGTTTTCCTTTAGGTCTCTGATACTGCTCATGATGTAGGTCTTGCAATCCGTCTTCCACTTGTCTAGGATTTTGTCCCCCCATTCTGGGAACAAGAGCAGAAGCAGCCCCCCCCCAAGTTAGCGGTGGGGCCAGGAGGTTGCAGAAAGCTTAAACCACACTCACCCTCTCCTGCTAAGTACAATTCTTAAAAGCCAAACTGATATTTCTTTCTAGTATCAACCTCCCTTTAACACAGGAGCCACACGTGGAAAGTGTGCATCGACAGGAAATCAGGATTAATTTGGCCTGGTTCGATGCTTGGAGGACAGCTTGGAAGGTTAACTTCTCTCCCTGGGTAGAGGAAGCCCAGAGGTTTCCAGTGGGAGGGAGTTCCTCAGGCTCAGCTTCTTTGTCAGAGAAGTGGGAGGGGCCCTTAGATTCCCTCCTGGGACAGAAGGTGAGAATGTGGCTTAAGTGCTCCGATCAATCGGCTCCCCCTCTGATGGTGGGAGCTGAGAAACCCAGGATGATGGTCTTTCCAGATCCTCCCTGCCTCCCTGATTTGCTGAGGCCCCAGGGGAGCTGGGGTGGTGGGAGACCCAGAGAAACTGACCCGGCTAGATGCCCTCTGGCTAGAGAGGAGCCCCTCCGACTTATACCAACCGCTTTTCTGCAAGTATGTCCCGTCCTTCTGTTTCATGAAGATCATCTCCACCTCCATGGAGCCGTATTCCCTGCAGAATTTTGCGGGGGAAGAAGGAATCATTAGGCGGCTACTGAATCAGCTCCTTGGCACGGCTCCTCTCTTGGCCAGAAAAGGCTTTGGGGATGGGGGTGGGAGATGCCAAGAGAGATGTTGGCATAAACAGGCTCTCACTCATCCCCCCACCATCCTTCAACTGAAGAGAGGGGGCCTCTGGTTCTTGTAACATGCCTGTTCTGCTAATCCTCAGAGGGAAAATGTTGCTTTTCATGCCCACTGAGATCTCCTGGGGCCACGGCAGACATTCCATCACAAGCTGGCAAGGGTCAGCCCCTGGCAAAGCCTGTGAGGACATCCCCTCCCCCATCCCTGAAATCCAGCCTCCCTACCACTCTCCAAGGCACAAGTGCCCACCCTCCTTCCCACCCACCCAGCCAGAGGGGCAGAGGGCAAGGGCTGCGGGCCCAGGCCTGGCCCAGCACAGTGGGCACTCACGTTGAGCAGTTGGTCGAGATGGTGAAGCTCCCCTCTTTCTGGCTGGTTATGTTGCAGGTCATCATCTCCTTAACCAAAAATTCCACCATCCACTCACAGTTGGACCCTATGCCGTGGACGTACCACAGCCCTAGAATCTGGGGGAGAGCGCTTGGTTAGCCAACCCAGATTCCGTGGCAGGCGTGCCAGGGAAGTTGGGCCGGGGCACCCATCTGGACAACCTGCCTCCTGCCCAGCTCATTGGGGGCTCTTTTGCAGGGAGAGGCAGCCTGGCTCGGTTACCTGCCTGGGAGCACATTCAATGTACTCATCAGAGGAGGAGGCAGTGGGGAGGCAGAAGAAGGCGAGAGCCAAGACAGACAGACAAAGGTATCTCATCCTGCCCAGGTGCTTGGTCCGTGCTCAGCCAAGGAGCCCCTTGGAGAAGCCGGTTCCCGAGGTCAGCGGCTTTTATAGCGCTTGGACGTCACTTCCCCTCCCAACGGCCGGCATCCTCTCTGAACTGTCGTGGCACCCGAGATGGGGCATCGCTGCCAGCACAAAGGGCGATTATCTCAGCCGGCACAAAGGGCCATTGCTCTGCCTGGCCAAGGAGCCTGGAGGCTTTTGGGTGGCCTCCAGCCAGGAGAGCCTCAGGGTGGAGTTGGCCAAAGGCAGCTGAAGCGGCCAAAGTGAAGGAAACACCCCAAATGACCTCCAGCTCGGGCAGAACGCAAAGAACAGCAATGCCCGCAAGTGTGAGCGGGCAGTATATCGACACAATAACTCAGCAGTTTGAGGGCTGGAACTTGGTCCCAATTCAGACATTCCTTCTGGGAAAATGCCGAGGTTTAAAGGATGTGTGTTGTAAAAACAAGAGCGTGTATTCGAAATGTTATATGTGTGGGGAGACTTGCGTGATTTATAAGACCGCCGGATCAGAAGAAGACGACAATATCCAGAGGTTCACCCTCTTCGGTTTCTGATTGTTTTCACTTTACCTGGGTGGATTAAAGGAGCAGCAACTGTCCTCAGTGTTGGGAGGCTTGGAGGCAGATTTCATTCTGGCCATCCCAGCCCTTGCGGGGGGCCTTCCCTGCTGTGCGGCTGTTGCCACCGGCCCCTTCCCCACCCAGGAGCCCCACAGAAAACACGGCTCAAGAAGAAGGGAAGGTGTAATCTATTTATTCCAGGGAAGGGGAAGGAAGGGGGGACAAAGCAAATGAGGAGGGGGGTATAAGAGGTGGGAGACCAGCAGGTATGGCTTCCGGGCCGAAGGAGGGCCTGTGGCTGGTGGGGGAGAGGCTGGGTCTCTTCAGGCGCTGAAAAGCAAAGCAGCAGAAAGAGGGGAGGGTGAGGACAAAATGGGGAGGGGAGTCTGTTCCCCCAAAACCCCTCCTCTTCCCCCGACATTTCTCCTCAGAGCCACCCACACAACCTTTACCAAACCAGCCCCCCACCCCACTTTAGCACCAGGGATGAAGACACAGCAGCTGGAAATGTTACGGCACCCACAAAAAGCCCACCCCCGTTGCTCGCCAATGGCCGCTTAGAGGCACCTCTTCTCCTGCACACAAACAGCTGGAGGGCAGCCCCCCTCTCTCCCCCCCCCGTGCCACCATAATAAAGGCAATCCTCCCCCTCCCCTCACACTGCCCCATCCCAACCCCTTTGCAAGGCAATGGCACTCACCCAATTTGCTTGAAACATTTATCTGCAATGCAGAGGAAGACACAGTCAGTCTCCAAGGCTGGGCAGGAGGGCAGCAGCTCCTTCTCAGCCAGGGGGGAGAGTGTTGGGGGGCTGGGGGTTCCCTGCAAGGGCTTCCCCACCCCCCCACCCCCTCCCCGTGGGGCTCACGATTCCGCGCTCCCCCTCCCCCTCCCCAGCCGCCCTCTTCCACCCTGTGGGGAAGGGTCATAGGTGTCCTACGAAAGGGTCTCTGAATCAAAGGCAGGAAGGACCCTCCGCTCACCGGAGAAGGGGGGAAGCAGCAGCTCGCCCATGAGCCCCATCTTCTGGCAATAGGCCTTGAATTTCTCCAGGTTCCCATCTCCCTTGAGGTCCCTCCCTGCAAGGGGAAAGGGAACAGGGGGGGAGGAGGGTTGCAGCTATCCACAGGTGCACTGGGCACGGGAGGCTCTGGGGAGCCATCCCCAAACTCCCTGCCGGAGGAGGAGCCGCCCACAGGAACCCACCCCCCAATTTGGAAGCGATGAGGGAGAGTCCAAGGCTGCTCAACTGCAGAAGGGACAGGCAAGCCATGGGAGAAAGAAGGGGAGGCCTGCTTGACCCAGGCCGCCCCACACACACACACACCCATCATCCACAGCCGCTTTGGTTTACGGCCTGGCTCCTAGGAGCCCCCCGGGGTTCAAGGAGCAGGAGGCCCCTGCACCCAGAGCACCCACTGTAAAGCTGGAGGCTCCTGCTGGGGGGCATCCCCTTCATCTCCCGCACAGCGTAGACAATGGCGAAGTTGGCATCGCTGGCCAGCACCCGCAGGTCCTTCTTGCCCTTCTCTGCAGAGGGCGAAGCAGTGGGGGGGGGGAGCAGTCAGTAACCCCCCCCTTGGAGGCTCCCTATGGACCCTTCTAACCCCCCCTCCACCACACCCTCTGGAGAACCACCTGGGGCCCTCTGCGCATGATCACCCTCATCTCCTCCCCTCAAAATCTCTGCTGATGAAAGGGAGCCCTCTTGCGGGGGTCCCACTAAGGGTTCCCCCTCCCTACCATCACTTGAGGTGAAGTGTCCCGGTTTGTCCGCCTTCATGTAGCTTCCCTTCATCCCTTCGCAGTTTTCCCCCCTTGAAAGCAGCAAAGAGAAGCAGTGTTGGGGGGGGGGAGAGTTCGGGCAGGCAAAAGAGGCACCATTGATGGGCTTCCTTTGGGTGACTGTCATTGCCCCCCCCCCCCGGTGTGTGTGTGTGTGTGTGTGGATTCCAGTGGCTCCCAGAGATTTTAGCCCTGGGACGCTGCCCTGAATCCTGAAGGGAGCAGGAGGGGGTTTCCTGCACTTGGCTTACATGGGGGATGGGCGCCCCCCACCTGTCAGGGGAAAGGGGAGGCATTGTTGGGGGGAGGGGTCCAGGAGGGGCCCTGATCACAAAGGATATTTACAAAAGGTAATAAGTCTCTATTTCCATGTTGCCATTCGGTAAGGGATGGATCCGGACCGCCGGTGTGGTGATGATGTCCTTCAAGCTCTGAAGCATCGGGTCGGTGGAGGCGAGTGCCAAGACGTGCCACTTCCCTGCAAACTGCAAAGCCCCCACCCCACCCTGTGGTTAGACCGGCAGGCCTGCCCCTCCCGCCCTGCCCTTGCCCTCCAGAGGCAGTGGGGCCCTTTGCATTTTGCCCCCCCAAAAAACCCTCCCTGCCCGGAAGGGCTGCTGCTTCTGCCCGAGAGAGAAAGGGCAGAGACGGACCACAGTGAAACTGTAAAACCCCAGGAAGCCCTGACGTTTGTGGTTGCTGAGGTAGACTGCGCTTGAATACGGAGGGGTCGTTTGTCTTAGGGCCGCAGAATGTTTGTGCGGGAGCTCCTCGGCTAGATGTGTCCCCAAGGGCTGCAGTTAAGAGCCAAGGTGGTGCAGTGGTTAGGGTGCAGTACTGCAGGCCACTTCAGCTGACTGTTATCTGCAGTTCAGCGGTTCTAATCTCACCAGCTCAAGGTTGACTCAGCCTTCCATCCTTCCGAGGTGGGTGAAATGAGGACCCAGACTGTGGTGCTGATATGCTGACTCTGTAAACCGCTTAGAGAGGGCTGAAAGCCCTATGAAGCGGTATACAAGTCTAACTGCTAGTGCTATTGCTATAGTTTGGGAGATGGGCTGGCAAGCTCTCGACCACCTATGGAGCCCTAGAAGTGGCTCAGACACCCCCAAGCTCCCCTTCCCCGCAACCGGTACCCTGTTAAGGTCGAAATTTGGATCCACTTCCACGTCGGCCTGGACACCAAAGATGCAGAACGCGGCGAGGGTTAGCAGGGCGGCCTCCATGCTGGTGGGTCTGCCTTGGTGCTCCTCAGGTGCCGGAAAGGTGGCAGCCTCTCTGGGGCACCCAGATTTATACCTCCCCCTGGCAGTTGGCAGGAAGCAGGGCTTATGCAAGGATTTGGGCCACTGGTGTCCAGTAACATGGCATTAAGGGATAAGAGGCGGTGCCGTTGACTCACCCCAGGGAGGAGGAGGAGGAGGAGGAAGCACAGCCTGCAACCCAACCTCCCTTTTATCTAAATCCCCTCTAAATCCCCAGTACTGGAGAGGGGCTTCCTTCAATGCCAGGCCTCAAGGAAGAACAATGGTGCAACTATCGCTCTCGTTCTCTCGCTCTCACAAACACACACACCCTGGAAAAACCCCACTCTGGCCCCAAAAATCCCCACCTCCCACTTGGGAAGTTTCAAGCAACAGTGCTGCCGAATTCTTTGTTAGGCTACAGAAGGCAGCAGGGAGGCCGTGTTTGTGTGTGTGTGTGTGTTGTGTGTTGTGTTGTGTGTGTGTGTGCACGCACAAAAAGGCTGGGCTTTGAGAGTGGGCAGGGGAGAGCTTTGTCCGGCTGCCAGAAACGCTGTCTGGGATCTCATCCTTTGAGAGGAGTAACAGCGAGAGAGAAAGGAGCAGCGGCAGGAAAGTTTTGCATTTTTAGGAAATTTGTTTTAAATGGTCCAAGAAGAGATTTGGTGGAATCTCAGACATTAAAACGTCCCTCAGGCCTGAAAGCCCCCCCCCCACCCCACAATCCCACTTCCCACCGAAAGGCGGTGGCAGAAGCAGCGACTCTGGGCTGTGTTACATATTCCTTTATTATTGCTGTTATTAATATTTCCAGGGCAGGAGAAAGGCTGCTATCAGGCGAGAGGCAGGAGGGGAAAGGAGGCCATGGGGAGAATTCCAGCACTGTGGGGAGAAAGGGGTCTTCGGCCCCCCTCCCTCCCTTGGGGGCAGGAGCCAGAAGCCGGGCGAGGAACTGCAGAGAAAAAGGAGGAAGTTCTTTCAAGAGTCTTTGGAGATGCTTTCAGTTTTAAACAAAAAGACAGTATCTATTTAAATAAATCAAATGTATTAAATCTTCAAAAGAAACATTAAGATGGCAACTAATGTAAAGGGGGAAAGAAGAAGAGAAACAACACAAAAATAGTTAAAAAGTGGCACAAACGTTTGCATTCTTGGATACTTTCTGGGCGAGCAAAAGCTGGAACAAATGCCACTCGCCTACACGGTTTCTCCCATGCAGAGATCTGCCCAGAAGGAAGACAGGAAAAGGGGTCAGAGGAGGAGGACCCTCCAGCGGGTACCCACCACTGGATGCCAGCCCGGCCCCCGCCCTCCCTGCAAAACCTGCCCGCCGTGCGCCCTCACCAGTCCGGGGCAGGACGAGGACGTCTTCCTGGGCAAGTCCCTGGCTCAAGGCCGTCTGGGTGAACTTCGCCAGCAGTTCCGGGCGCAGCTGTTTCTGCCTCCCTGGCACCAGAAAGCAGAGCGGGTGAGGGACCCTGGCACTCCCCCGCAGCTGCCTCTCCTGGCAGAGCCCGCCTGGCTGGCTGCACCTACCGTAGAGGGTGACCATGGTGAAGGTGTCGGCCCCCTTGGTGATGGTGTCCCCCAGCAGTGCGTACTCGTTGTAGTTGGTCTCCAGCACCCGGATGTTGTGGGCACTTCCTGACCCTGGGAGAGGAGCAGAGATGGGGAGAGGACCCTGGACAAAGCCCCCGGGGATGCAAGGGTTGAGGACCCCTCCCCTTATAGGCAGGCAGAGGGTCTTCCTCCCCTGCAACCAGAGGTGGGTTCCTACCGGTTCGCACCGGTTCAGTAGAACCGGTTCGTCAAATCTACCGAACCGGTTAGAAGAGGTTCCACCAGTGGATCCAGA